TTTCATACATGTGTATAAGGTGTTTTGATCCAGTCCATATCCACTCCCTCCCCTCCAACTCTTCCCATATATACTCTTTTCCAAAAGCCAAAAATGTCAAAAATATTTGGGAGCTCTTATTTGCTTGTTGTTTTGAGACAGGGTCTTACTGTGTAACCCTAGCTGGCTTGAACTTGCTATGAGTTTAAGCTGGTCTTAAACTCACAGAGATCCACCTGCCTCTGCCACCTAGCTTACTTTTTATAAGGTTTTAGGTTAGTCTGACCCTGTAATTATGTATTTCAGTTTTGATTATCAAATATACTTACTTTCTAAACTGTTTTAAGATGGCTGACTTGGATTTTTGTATTTTATACAAATGTTCTTTTAGCAAATAGAATAGAGGGCGATAAAGTTTTAAACTAGCATTTGTATATTTAAAAAAGTGGAGAGTCTGTACTTTTTACTTTTTAAGTAAATATACCATGTTTAAAGGGTTTTTATAAATCTGTAAGTTCATTGGAATCTCATGATTATCAGCCTTGGTTAAAGAGTCTTTGAGGTCAGTATTTTGCTTTTTACATTAGGAAAATGTAAGTCTTTTGAAAAAATCTTTTTTTGTCTAAATTCCTACTTTTGTATTCCAGGAAATTGAACTTGAATGTGGAACCCAGCTTTGTCTTCTGTTTCCCCCTGATGAAAGTATTGACTTGTATCAGCTCATTCATAAAATGCGTCACAAGAGAAGAATGCATTCTCAGCCCAGATCAAGAGGTCGTCCATCCCGTCGAGAACTAGTCCGGGATGTGGGAAGGTTAGAAACGTTCTTTGGACTGATAATAGGCACATGTATCAGGATAACATGATGGAGGAATATGATTCGTCAAAAGTTTGTCCTGCGGTAAAGAAGAAAGAGAAAATCCTCATATCAAGCTGCATGGACTAGTTTGTGGCTTCATTGAGGATTTCACATGGTCACCTTGGTCTCAGTCATTTTTCAAGAGGAAAATGGGAATCTTTCCTTATGCAGAAAATAGTGTTTGCTAACGAGTGATGACCAGTTTAGATCAGACAGTATTCTGATAATACAGTATACAAGTAAAATGAGGTAGGCATTTTGTTTCTAAGAACAGGCTAGAAAGAAGGAAGAGGAGGAAGTCTTTATTTGCAAAATTTGTTAATATTTTGTAAAAAGCCTTTTCTTTCAGGTCTATCTCTGGATAAGCCTTATCACATATGGGACTTTTATAAAGGATCACTAATATTTTTTCAGAAGATGACGCCTCATTTAGAGGATAAAATGTTTTAAGTTATTTTCGTATTCAAGAAGAGCATTATTGGGACTGTTTCAAATTTTGTCACCGTGATGTGTTAACCCCATTGCCACATATTCTCTAACATGTGCCC